GCAACGGCGCAGCCTTCATGGGGCTCGGTGACCTCTACGCTAGAGAGCAACGACGACCTCTGCGTCGAACACAAGCACGCCTGTCGTGCTTCTCACCATTGTATTTGTCCTCGTCATTGAGCTCATATGTCCATATCTCCTTCTTTAGCGGCGATAGCTGACCTCGTCCTCGAGCTCCTCCAAGAAGGAGGATGTGGTTCTAGGGCAGGGACAGTCGCTGGCTCTGCCCATCGTGACTCATGTAGTTGCGGCAAATTAGATAGGGTTGGGTGGAGAGGACGACCAACGATGTGGCCTCTAGATCCGGAGGCACGTAGCTATGGGAGTTGTCTAACAGCGACATCGTGGAGCAAGACGTCGAGGTCAGCTCTTAGACGAGGACGTGGTCGCTGCCAGCGGCGAGGTAGCCAGATAGGCGCGCTAGGATAGGGCATCCCAACGACAGTGGTGGCAATGGTTTGACGGCGGGATAAAGCATGGCTGAAGCAGAGGGTGGCGCCCGTGGTCTTTCTAGAGAGTCTTGCAGGCCCTCTGCGTGTCGTCCTCCTCCACCTCTATCTCCTTCTCTAGCCTTCGCCTCGCCCTTTGCCTGTTCCTCGTTAGTGGCATCACGGGAGTCGGGCATTGCTCCCTACCCATGTCTCACCACCGTCTCTAGGCTCTCCTCCAACCCAGCTCCTGCCATGCTCCACTGCCATGACCTATTGCGGCGCACCGACCGAATGATGAGGACACACAGAGTTCAGGACGAGCTCCTAGAGGGAGCATTCGGAAAGCTACAGCGGCGAGGCCGCTGACGAGGCATGTACGACGACCTATGGACCCCGCCCCGGCGCGCGGACTTCGGCATGCCTCTGTTGCTCCTCCTCTGCGCCACCTTGGACTTAGTTGCCGAGTCCTCCTTCGACCGGCAAGTTGTAAGAGAGACATGGGGAGAGAGGGGGGGGGGGAGAAAGGTGTGAGGGAGAGGCTGACATGTGGCCCCATCTTTGCATGGGATACACCACAGCATGCTATATCAGCGCATGGAGCAGCTTGGAGCCAATTTGGACCTGTATGACAACATAAAGTTCGAGGATCTGAAAATGCATTGAGAGTTGAGGGATCTAGATGGCACACTTTCACAAGTTCAGAAATCGCCCGTGCACTTCACTCCTGAAGATACGTCGGCCTAATATTTTGTAAGTGTTTATAGGGGTAGGGGTGTGCGTTTGTGTATTCATAGGTGTGAGTGTGCACATTTGTGAGTGCATGCATTTATACCGTGTTTCTAAATAAAGTATACATGTAACTTTTCCTTAAAACAACGGTGCATATAGCATTTGGGCCAGTGCCATTGGATCGGATGTGTTCATGCTAGGATCCATTCGTGCAAAGGAAAATGACATTGGCTCTTCTATGCCTCCCATGATAATGTGTTGACGAGTGAAGGCAGTAGGGACAGTGTCTTTCGGCACCATGGTGTGGATAGGGCTGAGAAGGTGTTAGGTTGTGCTGAGATAGCTTATTATCTATGAGAAATAGTGATGATGTGATAATGGAATAATGGCTAAGTTGTTGGTAAAGTGAAAAGAAACTAATAGAGAAAATGAGTTTTTGCAAAGCAAGTTGTGGAATGGATTGAGATATGAGCCTTTTCCCAACAACTAATTCTGACTCAGTATTGTTTTGCAAAAGAACCTCTTTAAAGTGAAATGTTGTTTTTCTCAAGTAAGGCCATACCCTCATTGTTAAGCCAAGCAAGCCGACTATGAAGACTTTTAGGGATACGAACTTAGCACAATGTCGTGCCTGTGGAATAAGTTAGATGCCTAGTGCTTAGTTGCTTTGTTTAGTTTGCCTTCATTAGTTAGCTTCCGTTCCGAAACTATCATTGTCCTTGTTGCCTTTTATGTGCTGTGTTGTTGCCCATCTATGGGCTTGTCCATTGTGACAACATATGTAAGGACTATTCCCACAATGTAATAAAGTTAGTTTGCTATTATCCATTGTAAAGTGTACCAGCTTGTGTATCATGTTACTGTTACATATTCCACTGGTACTATATATTTGACCCCAACTTGCACCAATTGGTGTATTCTGGCTAACTATGTTCGAGGTGTCACCGTTGTTTTGGATAGATTAAGGATAGGGATAAAAAAAATTTGGTGCTCCTTATTTAAAATGGGATGGTTGAGGGTAAGATGAGAGGAAATTGAATAAAAAGTAATTAATGGGACACAGTATCATGAAACTCTTATATTTATGGACAAATTTTAAACGCTTGGAATGCTTATATTTGTGAACAGAGCGGTATGTTAGAGTATTGGATAATGATGGTATGCCCTTTTGTTGTAAGTCTTGGAATAAGAGTTCAAATATGCTTATATCAGTCGGCAAAATGTATTGTTTTATTGTTGTTGTGGTCTAATAGACACATAGTGTGACAACGAGGCTGAGAGCCTGAGACTATGCCTGTGGTATGGATCAAGATAGGTAAGATATGCTAGCAATGCAGATTGAGGATAAGGACATCCATAGAGAGGTTGACTCGATGTTTTAGTCCGATAGTAGTGGAGCAACCAATAGGCTGGTGATCAGGAGGGTGGTGCCACGACGAGTTCGAGAAGATGTTGAGCCAAGAGGTGGTGAGGAAACCAAGCCTAATGGCGATGGTGTGGTGGAGTACGGAGTGGTGCTAGCTAGCAAGCTTAGCTTGAGAAGATGTTGAGCCAGGAGGCTGCAGTGAGGTGGAGAAGGGATTGGTGCTGGGATGCTGGTGAGCTTGAGAGGAAGCGGGGCCTGGTAGAGGTAGATAGGCTAGAGAGGAGGTCAGTGCCAGTGTGGAGTAGATGCAGGTCTCACTAGGCTGTGCCGAGGCTCATGCATGAGTAATAAAGAGCAAAGCCCAACTTCTGTTGGATTTTTTGCATGGTAGGTTATAGAGAGAAGGCATGCTCGATACCCTTGCTACGTATGTTAGTGAGCTTCTTTTTAAAAGATTATGGATATATTATTCATATGAACAAAATTACTAAGCTATGAAAAATGCACTTCTGATCCCTTGGACAAACAATAACAAAATTTATTTCCACTACAAAATAATATAACTGCATAAGTTCATCTACTATAACACGGCCTATATACGTCGGTTTGCATCATATTGTTTGTTGGCGATAGAAGTCAATATAAGCCACTATGTAAAAGATGTATCAAGCCATTGTTCATCGCCGTATAGTACATATACCATCCCTCAATTGCACGATCCAATGTCATCTATACCTAATTAAAAATAAGTAAGGTTTCTGGTTTTTTTGTCCGTCGTTTAGTTTTCCGATTTTGTCAAAAAAAATCGCCTGTCTCCGATTGATCGTAGCGCAAGAAAAAAAAAGAAACCCCACCGTGTCGCACTTCGACGATCACGACGACCACAAGCCATAGCTCGATTAGTTCAAAGATGAGATTAGGAGTTGTATGCGTGTGATGTGTACCGTGTGGTCGCAGTCGACGAGCTGCTGCTCGCTGAGGTTGAGGTGGTTGCCGGTGGTGCTTAAATCCTAGCAGGAGCTGAATGTGCACTGCATCTTGACGTCGGTGACGGTGCCCATGTCATGCTAGTCGAGCCAGTTGAAGCTGGTGAGGAGGCTGGCCACCTCCTCCTCCATGGGCGGGAGGCAGACGGCATCAGCCTACGGCTTCAGACGTCATCGCCTTTGGCGGCGATGCCCATTAAGCGTGCCTCGAACTCCTCCCGGGTGAGGTTGGAGAAGGGGGTGACGCTATGGCGCACGGCCGGGTTGTGCGCCTGGTGCGCCATGGTGCAGCAAGGTTGGAGGTGAACATGCTCAGCCGCCGCACGTACTCCTCCGGCCCCGAGTACTCCCGCCCGTGCCGCCTCACGAACGCCGTGAACTGCGCCCCTGGGAGCAGCCTTGGCGGCTACCCGTCCATCACCTACCGGATGATGCCACCACCATTGCCAGATGCGCTAGAGCCGCCAACAACGACCACCATGATGAGAAGGACGAGCCGTGCAACAGCTATGGTGTGGGAGAGATTCATGGCGCGGTATGAGTAATCTTTATATTAATGTCGGAAGATGCAGGAGGAAGCGAAGTGGCAGCCATGGAGGCGGGAGGGGTCGACGCCTGTCACCTTGACGGCAGCGCGCGGTGCGGCCATGGCACGACACATGCGCCTTATCACCTTGAATTTGGCGCCATCTGATGATGCCTACTACCCGAGAGCGGTGATGGTGAACAAGGTAATTTTAAGGTCTCGGTGGCGCAATTGGGATGATGGATGAGGAAACCAATCTGGCTGGCGGCTGCCGCCGTGGATGAGCACGGTGAGACCGTGAGAGCACAACGGTTTTGCTCGGGGATCAGCTGCTGCTGCTAATGGGCCGCCGCCTGCTTCACTGAAGGCCCAGCCGCTCCGTATTGTCGTCCGATCCGCTGCGTGTACCTTCAGCCGTCGCCCAAGCCTAACCCTAACACTGCCGTCACATCGATGTGACTCCCCGTGCGTTTTCTCCTTAAATTGATTGAAAAAATCAATTTCCCGCTCCTCCCTCATCATTTCTCTCATAATTTCCTCTTTCAATTCCGATTTAATTCACTCGATTTAATATTTGTTTAATGGTCACCAATGATGATCGATCGGTGAGTTTCCCCAGGCAGTTTTTATCCTGAGTTTTGAGGAAAATGAAAAGATGAGATCGAGTGGATCAAAAGCCTCAATCAATTCTGGTAGATCGAGAAAGATTTAGTCGGGTTTGATGAGGAAGAACGGCTCCGGCATCGTACGGGCACGGGACTGTCTTCTAGAGGTTGAAGACGCTACCGAAGCGCGTGGGTCTAGCAGCAAGAGGAAGCATCCAGCTATGCTAGGTAGGCCTGTGGCTCCGCTTGTGGGCTGAGTCGAAGAGAGGCAGGTCAAGCGGAGAGGTAGGAGGCAGCAGACTGGGTTAGGGCCTAAAAAGGAAGGAAATAATGAGTTTTCACCCAAAACCAAGGAAGGATTTTAATCAACTTTTTCAATTATAACGTATAACGGTTTCAATGTTTCAATTTATTGCACATCTTCTAATAGTAGTTGCCATAGCACCCGTTACAATGCAAGGACATTTTTTCTAATATATTAATTAAGAAAACAGAGATGGTATGATCATTATTTAGCCTTCATCATGGAACCGCTAGCTTCTTCTGGCTCACATCGATCGATCCTAGCTTCCTCTGGGCTTGAGGTGCACGTGCAGCGGGTGAAGCTTCAAGGCAGTGTACTGCATGGTATCCTCCTTATCACCGTCGCCCTCCCTCAGCGTCCACTGGAGCTCCTGCACGAAGCGCGCGATGGCGACGCACGCGATGCTCACCGCCTGCTGGCTCCCCGCGCAGGTCCTCCTCCCGGCGCCGAACGCCAGCGTCTTGTACCTGTCGGCCAACTTGAACCCCTCGCCGAGGAATCTCTCCGGCGACCACTCTCCGGGCGACTCCCAGGCCTCCTCGTCCATGTGGCACCCGAACACGTTGATCATCACCTGGGTGCCCGCGGGGACGTCGTAGCCGGCGAGCGTGGTGTCGTCGTGGACGAACCTCGTGGGGAGCACCGGCACCGGGGAGTGCAGCCGCAGCGTCTCGTGGAGCACGGCGTCGAGGTACGGCAGCCTTGGTAGGTCCTCCTCGGTCACCGCCTTGCCGCCGCACACCTCTCGAATCTCCCGGTAAAGCCATTCCTGGACAAATTTTTACCAGTTTTAATTGGTTGGCAAAATATAATGCTCAAATTAATTAATTAATGCATCTGACAGACATTAAGAATATAAATATATATATACAAGATCATTCTTTTTTCTTGCCTGTTTGTCAGGGTTCTTGGCAAGCTCATACATGGCCCATTCAGTGGTTACCAGGACAGTATCCACAGCAGCAGCGATGGACTCCGCCAGCAGCAGCATCAGTTGGTGATCTGTCAGCTGTGTACTGTTCTTAGCTTCCAGCAAGAAGTCAATATAGGATATCCTTGCCTGCATGCAAATGCAACACACTGCATTTCTTCAGATGATCTCGCGACAGAAATAAAGTTTCCCTTTTTTTTTTCTCTGGATACGAATTGAATAAAATTTTTGTCATGTGTATAGTGCGTTTCGCGTCACCTCTCCGCGCGCAATCCTTTCCTTCTGCCTCTTGATCAACGCGTTCATCACAGCATCTCGTCTAAATTCTGTACTAGACACTATTGTTTCGAAGCTCTTGTTTGGAAGCCAGCTGAGGTAGGGGAAGTAGTCCCTCCAATCAGGCTCCACGACACACGACAATATCTCATGCACAAGGACATGGAAGATCTCTTCCTTGGATATCTCCCTCCCAAACTCTTCCACATAAACTGAACACACATCCTCACCTAAATTCTGAAATTGCAACAATCATGATCAGTACAAGTAACCTGAAATCGCAACAATTCTATAAGTCCATAACAATGTTCGTTCAAAAAAAAAAAAAGAGAAGTTCATAACAATCATGACCAGTACGTTCGACTAACTATGAAATCGCAGCAATCATGACCAGTACTAGAAGTAACAAACGGACCATTGGGGTAATACAATTATACAAACCTGGATCAAGGACAATCCGAATAGCTCAGTAGTGTAAACTTCTCTGAAGTTCAGAGGGGAATGTGGGTCAACAGCAACCAATTTATGCAAACTGCTTAACACGTTACTGACCATCCTTTCTCTTGTATCGCAGAAGTGTTTCTGAAATTTACGCAAGCATTGCATTGTGAGAGCTTAATTAACTGAGTGTGACTTGTATCCAGAAACCACAAGTACCAAATTTAAAACAGTTGAGATTTGTACCTGCGCATTAAAACCTAAAATTGCGAGCATAATATTACGCTTCGCCATCTTATAGAAGTCACCATAGTCGCTGATGGAAACCATGTTTTTACGGCTTATCACAGACAATGCTTTTGGTAGCTTTTTAGTTGATATTGATGAGAATTTTTCAATCATCGCCTGCAAAAAGTAGTACAGAATATATATATGTGTTTTTATTATTTACAGTTCAATATGAGATTATCAGTTATAGGTAACTATTCCAGAACACGAAAAAGAAGTAAAACATTTTTTTTTGAAGACTTAGATATATTGAGGAAGCAGAGAGTTCAAAGTCTGAGGGATGATATCCCTTAGGTTGCCTTCATTTTTCCAAACAAAGTATTGAAGCCAAGAACAAGAAGGAAGAGAAACATCAAACATCATAGCACCCACATCATGAACTAGAAGCCAGCATCATAGCACAATTGCATGGACCAAAACGTTTACAGTTTTACCCCCATGTTAGAAGAGACAGAGAAATAATATAATATCAGCTCTATAGTTCATGTTGTAGTAGGATTTTCCTTTTTTCTGTATCAAGATAAATTGGAAATATTATATTGCCATTTTATTAAGAAAAAGAAAATCCAGTTTAGAATCCTAAACTTCTGCAAGAATCCAAAAATCAACCCTGAACTATAAGAAACTGGATATGATCGCACCTCAAATTGTCAAAAACCATGGAATCTACACACACACCCCTCAAACTAAAAGCACCTCCGTTCTGCATATATGTAGGCTTGATAGTACTATTGAAAAGTACAAGGCTTGTCGCTAAGGGCTATACTCAGAAAGAAGACAAATATTTCTTTGACACACTACTACAAAACATCAAATAGGTGTCGCCACTATAGGTGCCGGAAGTACTAAAACCGGCACCTATATGCCTTTTCCCACTTCCCCCAGCTTGAAATCGCTAAAAACCAACACCTTTAAGCAATTATAGGTGCCTGTTCTAAATAAGAACCGACACCTATTCTATAGGTGCCGGTTTTTATAGAAAAACCGGCACCTTTAATATATTATAGGTATATTAAAGGTGCCGGTTAATTAAAAACCGACACCTATAATATATTATAGTTGCCTTTTTTAAAAAAAAATCCGACACCCACAGAATCGAGCCGAGCCAGGCGGGTAGATATTCTTCCAACGGTGGGGCCCACACCCACGGGAGATAAGGACGAGACGTCGAGCCCTCGAGCTACATCCGTCCAGTTCTTCTCAGCTTCTTCTCTCCCTCTTTCCACTTCCCTTCTCTCCATCCTTCTTCTCCTCTCTCTCTCTCCGTGTGGCGGCGGGAGGGGCGTGGACAGGAGGTGCGGCGGTGGCGGCGGTGGACGGCGTGGAGGCGGCGGGCTAGGCCTCGCCTCCGCCAGATCCGGTGGCGTGGAGGCGGCTGTGGCCCGGCGGGGGCGGGAGGGGCGGCCGGCCGGGCGCGGCGCCCTCCCGTTCGCTAGATCCGGTGGCGGAGGGGAGGCGGCACGGCCCGACGGCGGGATGAGAGGCGGCGGCGCCCTCCCTCCGTCGGATCTGGAGGGGGGCATGCGGCGGCGGTCCGGCGGCAGGAGGTGGTGGTGGCCCGACGGCGGCGGTGTTGACCGGCAGTGGTGGCGCCCTCCCTCCGTCGAATCTGGAGGGGGTGCATGCGGCGGTGGTCCGGCAGCAGGAGGTGGTGGTGGCCCGGCGGCGGCAGTGGTGACCAGCAGTGGTGGCGCCCTCCTTTGATTTTTTCTGATTTTTGTTGTTAGTGAAAGATTGAAGCTGCCGCATTGAGCCATCTTGTATGTTGTTTGGGAATGATTTTTGTGAAAGATTCAATGTTAGTGAAAGATTTTTAGTTATGTTTTTCATGTTTGTTTTTCTGTGATGTTGTTTGATTGGGGATTGGGATTGATTTGGGATTTCTGTGGTAGATGAGCTCGGCTCAATGCATCGGCTCGATTCAAGCCGGTGCATCGAGCCAATTTTTTTTGGCTCACAAACCTATGAAAGGTGCCGGTTTTCAAAAAGTGATTGGTGCCGGCTCTGACATCTGTGCCGCTTCCATTGTGCCGGTTGGGAAAACCGACACCTAATAGGGTTTCCCAACCGGCACTATTAATGTTTTCTGTGGTAGTGACACTTACTCACCTGTTGCTAGATTGATGACAATTCATGTGATACTTTCCCTAGCAGTCTCACATGGTCTTTTCGTTCATCAAATGGATGTTAAGACAACTTTTCTTAATGGAGAGCTGGATGAGGAGCTCTATATGGATCAACCTGATGGGTTTGTAGTTGAAGGTCAAGAACGCAAGATGTGCAAATTATTGAAATTTTTGTATGGACTGAAACAAGCTCCTAAGCAATTGCATGATAAATTTGATAGAACATTAACATCTGCAGGCTTCACAGTCAATAAGGCAGATAAATGTGTATAATATCGCTATGGTGGGGGTGAGGGAGTTATTTTGTGCTTGTATGTTGATGACATACTATTATTTGGGACAAACCTTGAGGTGATAAATGAGGTTAAATCATTATTGTATCAAAGTTCGATATGAAGGATTTGGGAGTAGCTGATGTTATTCTAAACATTAAGATAATTATTGGTGAGGATGGGATTACATTCTTGCAGTCCCATTATGTAGAGAAGATCCTGAATCGCTTTGGCTACATTGATAGTAAGCCTTCTCCAACACCTTATGATTTTAGCTTGTTGTTTCACAAGAACAAGATAATTGCTAGGAATCAATTGGAATACTCCCAAATCATTGGCACACTTATGTACCTAGCTAGTGCAACTAGGCCTGACATCTCCTTTGATGTGAGCAAGTTGAGCCGGTTTACCTTTAACCTGGGAGATGATCATTGGCGTGCGCTTGAGCGAGTGATGCGCTATCTAAAAGATACTATGAAATTGGGGCTTCACTATACTAGGTATCCTGTGGTACTAGAGGGATAAAGTGATTTTAATTGGATCTCTAATGTGGATGAGATCAAAGCCACTAGTGGATATGTTTTCACACTATATGATGGTGCTATTTCATGGAGGTCCTGTAAACAGACCATTTTGACGAGGTCAACTATGGAAGCAAAGCTGAATGGCTTGCAAACAGACCATTTTGACACAACCATTCTGCTACTGTTGAGATAGAATGGCTGCGTAATCTTTTGATGGATCTGCATGTGGTTGAAAAACCGGTGCTGGGTATTCTTATGGACTGTGACAATCAAACGGTGATTGTCAAAGTGAACAGTTCTAAGGATAACATGAAATCGTCTAGACATGTGAAAAGACGATTGAAGTCTGTCAGGAAATTGAAAAACTCCGGGATTATAACATTGGATTACATTCAAATAGCTAGAAACTTGGCAGATCCCTTCACGAAGGGACTGTCACAAAATGTGATAGACAATGCATCGAAGGAGGTGGGTTTGAGACCCATGTGAGTTATACTATTGCAGTAACCCAGTCTATGTGATCGAAGATCCCGTGAATTAGATCTGGGAAGAACAAGCCATTAGTTAACTGGAGGAGAGTACCAATCTAAACCCTCTCTAAGTGAAAATGCATGTAGTCTCGTAAGTTGCAAGGCATAGTCCATTGGGTAGCATACTGACGGTCTAGTACCAGATAAAACTCTAAGTGAAACTTGCTTGCACAAAACTTGCAATCCAAGGCGTAGTCCATTGTTCAAGTTGTGAGTATGTGTAGCTTGGAGTTCTAGGTGGATGTTCAACCTTAATGGTATATAAACAAAACATTGAAAAAAGACAAATCTCAGTGGGATTTTGGTATTTGGTGGGGGATTGTTGGAATTAATAGATGAGCCTTAGTCCATTCAAAGATTAATTCTTTAGAAAATCATAAAAGCCCACCTCATGAAATGGCATGGATGGAGAGTTTAGTACCACCTTGCCTATTCTAGGAGAGGGAGACAGGGAGAATGCTCTCCTAGCTACTCGAGGCATGTGAGGTGGAGAAAAGAGAGGGGAACACATGCACACGCTTGCTCGTCTGGCCTAGCCTAGCGGCGTGCGTGTGCACAACGTACGCGTCGAATGGTCTGCCAAAATTGTTCCTCACCCTTGCGCAGATGCAGTCTCCTTTTGCAGTTTTGTTTTGCTGCGGAAAATTTGGATTTGTTTTTTAAAACACTCCGAATAATACGATGTGTGAAACTGTGTGGAGTCCAGATAAGTTACGCGCGACTTATCCAGTTTCGGTTACGCGGAGTGGAGATCGTGCAGGCATCCTGATATCTCTATATTGGTTGAGCCGCCGCCTCCACGCATAATACGTGAAATCAATTTAGGGTTTGCCTCTTCCTCTATACTGCGCCGTCTCTCGTAGTCTACTCCATCCCGCTCGTCGGCGTGCACTGGAGATGGGGAGAGCAGGTCTTCAGAACCTTCACCTTCGACGTCCTACACCGGGAGAAGGCGGCAATAAGGTTTTTGAGAAGCGCTTTGTGCGACTGCTCCCTCCTCGACCACAACGGCTCGTCTTCCTCTTCGGTCACGTGCACACATTAGCAGGAAATTAAAAAAAAAGCTGGAAAAAGGACAACTTGCAAGTTACCTCCTTGGCTACTTCCGTTGAATTGAGCACAACTACTGAAGAAGCTCCGGTCTTTATAGTGTAGATTGGCCCATAAGTTTTAGACCATTTTGTAAAGGTATGATGAGGCTTCTTTTCTTTCAATTGATGCATATTTCCAATAACGGGTAAACCAGGAACAGCTGCAATAGAATAAACAATCATATGAGTACTAACGCCCTTGTAGTGGACTGAAATTTGAAATGAGTTTGCTTCACAATATCTCTGCATAAATGAAAACACTAAATATTTAAGCAAGTAATTTAACATTTATTGGTGATTCGCACTATCAACATACAGGTACTGGCGGGTTATCAAAATAGACATAAGTTTGACTTTCATTTTGCACGTTAATAATTTTAAAACAATGTTACCTGAAATCATAACTGAAAGAAAGTTCTTACGATTTTTTTTTGTTCTTAATAAAGGAAATGGATATACATCAAAATTAATATATGGCAATCAATGCATAATTAACCAGAAGAAAACAAATTGAAGAGCGAATTTGGACAAAGTTTGTGGATTGATAGAAGTTTTCTACAATTTGTTAATAGTCTGCATACTAAAAAATTGTCTCTGTTCCGAATTCTAGTCTACAAAAGTCCAAGCTAGTAGCTACCACCAACCACACCTCCATTTATAGTTCGTTAGGGTAGCCCCGCACATTTCTGTAACTATTTCCTAGTTGATAATGTGCATTTCTATCTATTTACACAATCACACACTACCGAAGTTTCTCTTATTTGATTCTCACTTCCTACAATCTAGTCTCCATTCAAGGATGATTGAGCAAGATGCAGACTAGGTCCGTTCGAATCCAATAAAAATCGTGGATAAAATTTTGGATTAAAGTGTCACGCTTTTCAAACTGCTAAACTATATGTTTTGTGTGAAAACTTTATATATGAAAGTTGTTCTAAAATATCAGATTAATCCAATTTTCAAGTTTGTAATAATTAAAACTTAATTAATCACATATGATTACCACATCGTTTTATGTAAAACACTTAATTTTTATCTTCATCTTCAAGAGATTCAAACAACACCTTATTTGATACCAGATTGAGCAAGATGCAGACCTGGTCACTTTCCTGTGCAACCAGCGTTTCTTCTATTCAAAATTTATTTCTACTCTAACTTTATTAACACAGACATATATACTTTTGTCTTTGTCTTACGTGGATAGCAAACGAATTTTCTATTCTAGACTAGATGGTATATATAGATAGTTTAGTACTATGCCTTGTATTCAAATTGGAAAGCAGATAACTAGTCAAATTTGTTCATAGATTCAACTATATCTCAACCATTATAATACATTATAATATGGGTCCACCACGATCTAACGGTGTAGATTTTGTCAAACGTGGTAAACTCTGGTCTCCAAAGCAACCATGGTATCTTCTTTCAAGATTATCGTATATAATAGATAAAAAGTTTCTATTTCGAATCATCATTAATCTCTATGGATTCCTCTTGGTATGTTGTCTTATTTATATTATGTTTTATTCCAAATTTTCATGATTTTTTTAAATTTTATTTGGAATTAGTATTGCAATCTAATTTATTATATTTTTTGTTTTGAATATAATTAATATCGTATTGTGTTACAGGTTTACTGTAGTTCTTATTTTTTAACTCCAGGATTTAGTTATTCCTAAATTATATTTCTATTTGAACTCTTTTATTTATTTATTGTCAATTTTAGTTAATCTCGTGTTGTGTTTAGATTCAACTCTCTAAATATTTGACCAATAATATTTTATTATAAATTAAGTCTTATTTGAAAAAAAATATCATTGAATTTGCATTTGAATTTATTTTCTTATAATTGTGATTTTGTTGCTTGAAACAACGTAGTATTTGAGAAATTTAAAGTCACAGAAAAGATTAGTCAGTCGGACGGAGGGAGTAGTGACTAGTGATTGCTGTTAAAGTTCAAATGCTGTTCTAGTGGTTAATACACAGTCATTCGTCCTACGACCTCCATAATAATTGGGTAATTTCTTCTTTAAATCATATGCTAGAAATAATTTTATTATTATGAAAAAGAGAGAATACGACCTCTATAATAATTGGGTTATTTCTTCTTTAAATCATAGGCTAGAAACAATTATATTATTATAAAAAATAGAGAAAACTCTAGATATTTCGACTGACAACTAAATTTTGGGATGAAAATAGAGCGGATATGAACGGAAAATGCTCATACCATTTTTTTATTTTTTTACCATATACAAAACCGAATAGGTTGGATATGAAAGAAAAACAAAATTATCTCTAATGCAAATAAGGATCAAATATAAACAGACACGAATACAAAACAAATATTTCTGGAAACACAAAAACCACCTAAACTACTTTTAATAGAAACAAACACCATCACACATAATTAGTTATTTTTTATAAAAAGGTTGATCATAGATTAAATATTGCTAATTAAGTTCGACATGCATGAATAACAACATTGGTAAAAATACATATATAACTGATATTATAATATATAAAATATAGCATATTTTATAAAAATATTTTAAAATTTAAATAATATTAGTTGTGTAGACTTGTGTCATGAGATGTGCTACAATTAAAATCTAAAGAGGTATATTGAAGGTGAGTTAGAGAGAAATGGTGTATGTTTTATGTCTTGAGCGAATATGCGAATATCACTGTTCACTGAATATCTTATCCGTCTAAAATTCTATACAATATTCGTATTCACATCCGAGGAAAAAAATGTTTCTAACTATTCAATAATTATCCGTTTTGAACTATATCAGTATTCGTTTTTCTCTATAGCAAACCGAAACTATCCCTCCATTTTCATGGCTAGCTAATATTTTTCATGGCTAACTAAGGTCATCGGCTACATGCCATCTCCAACAATTCAATGAAGATAGATATATACTCCCTCCGTCCCAAAATATAATAACTTTTAACTATAATAACTTTTAACTCTTAAAAGTTTGTCCCAATATATAACAATTTCTCCACTAACATTCTCTTTTCAACCAATCACATCTCTCCACCATTTAATTTTCTCATCTACTTCCACTTCTCAACCAACCACAACCTTCTCCCATTTAATTCAACTTACTTTTTTAATATCTGTATCAAACTCTAAAAATCTCTATATTTTATAATGGAGGGAGTAGGTAGATAACCACAGGGAAGCGGATGGCAAAACACGGCAATTGATCTGAATGATCGAACGATCGACGAAACGGGCCGGTTACCTGGAGGCGGGTTGTTGCCGCGGTCCTTGGGCGGCACCACGGCGAGGGTCGCCGCCACGACGGCGGCCGCCGCAGCCACGCCGATCCCTCCCGCACCGGCTGCGAGCAGCGACTCCATGGCCGATCGATCACACAGGTTCACTGCGAGTTTGCACTGCACTCTCCTGATCAATCCCCGGTTTAGTACGTACAGTACTAAGTATATATATATATATATATATATATATATATATATATATATATATTATATAGGGCAGGATGGAAGTGGAAGAAGGAGCAAGTGTGTGGGGGAATCAATTTCGTCTTGTACCCTCAATTTGATTGACTTGGGAACTTAATTAAGGTATCCGCATAATGCGTTGATCATGCGGTCAGCTCACGTGGTTTGAACTTAAGATCAGACTTTTACAATAGTTGTCGTCGGGAAGTAATATCCATGCACGATGCATGTAGTTGTTTGACTAGCTAGTATTTTACTAGTCAAACTTATTTAAATTGACTAAATTTATAAAAAAATATAGTAATATTAAAAAGAAACATATTATAAAAATATATTTAATGTTCAATTTATTAAAACCAATTTATATTTTCTATCACTATCGGAGAAATCATCTTTGGTCGGTCGACCAAATTCCACAATAGTCCCGGTTCCAATAAAAACCGGGACTAAAAATAATTTTTAGTTCCGGTTTATAAGCCCAAAGGGACTATGTGACACCAACCGAGACTAAAGATGATTTTTAGTCCTGGTTTGCATGTTTTCATGGGCTGTCAGGCCCTCCTGGGGTTTTTAGTCTCGGTTAGTAACCTAACTTTTGTCCCGGTTGATATTACCAACCGGGACCAAAGATCACGGTGATCTTTAGTCCCAGTTAGTAACACCAACCGGGACCAAAGATCTATTTTTAGTCCCGGTTGTTAAACAACGGGTAAAAAAAAAAAGCCTCTATCCTCCCATCCTTATCTCCTCCTCTCCCATCCAGCCATCCCCCATCTTATCTTCTTCTCTCCTCTCCTCCCATCCTCCCCTTCCTTCTTCTCTCACCCCATCTCCTCCTCCCCTCTCCTCCCCCACCTCCCCTCCCTTCCCCTCCGGCGGGACGGCGGGATGGAGGCCGGCGCCGGTCAGGAGGCGGCGGCTGGCGGACGAACATTTTTTTTTCTTCTCTTCTCTGTGTTATCTGATGAATGCTGAAGATGTTGTTGTAGATGTGAACTTTTTTTTCTTTCTCTATTCTCTGTAATGAATGCTCGTTGTTCTGAAGATGTTGTACTGTGAATAAGTGTAAAAGAACATGGATGCTTTGTTGTAGATGTGAATAAGTGTAAAAGAATATGGATGCTTTGTTGTTGATTTTATTTATTCGATCTATGATTTAGGCTTTCTTGTTGATTTTATTCGTTCGATCCGCGAAGATTTGGGCGAAAGAAAAAAAAAAGGAAAAATACCAACCGGATGAAAAGAAAAGAAAAAAAGTCCCGGTCGGTAACAACAACTGGGACCATATTTTTAGTCCTGAGTATTTGAACCGGGACTAAAGATAGCGATCTTTAGTCCCAGATTCGTAGTCCCGGTTAAAAAACCGGGACTACAGGATGTTACCAACCGGGACTACAAAGCATTTCTCCACTAGTGTATGCTGTTAAATTTTTTTATAAATTTGATGAAACTTAAGAAAGTTTGATTAGGAAAAAAAAATCAAACATCTTATAATACGAGCAGGGATCAGTGGAGGATTTACCTCCTGGGGCAGCACGCGGCTGCCCGGGTGTCAAGCGCTCGACCCATCAAGGCGCAGCGATTTGTATGCGGTAAAATCCACCGATTAACTGTCTTCCCAGGCAACTAGAGCATGTACAATGGTATTTATTAGTGGTCTCTCTCTATTGTCATACAAGTAAATTTGATGATATGGAAGAAAGAGAAAGAAGTATGGTTGTTATGCATGACAACGGCTCAGAGTTGACTCTTAGCATTTATTAGAGTAAATTTTGTTGCATGGTGGTGAAAGGAAGGAAAGAAGAGTAAGAAAAAGTATTTGAATACATTAATGATTAGAGACCATCTGGATTTTTCACATTTTAGTCCTTTTGAAAAACTTATTTCGCAAGTAGACCCCTAGAAAAACTTATCCCAAAAATGGTCCTTTTTGGGGCGCCAGAGTGGCTGGCGCCGTCGTTCAACAGGACGGCGCCAGCCTCTTTGGCGCCGTCCCCCTGCCGACGTGGCGGGGCGATGCTGAGGTGGCTAGGGGGAGTGCGCCAGAGTGGCTGGCGCCCCCCCCCCCCCGAAATTTTTTATTTTTGTTTTATTTGTTTGATATTTTTTTTCACGCTTAGGGACACACAAGAACCAACCATAGAAAAATTGAACTCAAATGGACATAATATGTGACATGTAGAATTTTTCCTCTCCTCTCCTCTCTCCGAACTAGTGCAGAGGAGAGAGATGTGCAACTTTTTTATTTTTATTTTATTTTTTTGATATTTTCTTCACACTTAGGAACTCACAGGAACCAACCATGTAAAAAATAAACTCAAACGGACGAAATATGTGGCATGTGGAATTTTCCAAAGCTCCACCGAAAAACTTCTCTCCTCGAAAACACAATCTTGCAAGCGGAATTTGGGAGAATCAGATGTAACTTTTTCTGTAGATGTCCGTGCATATATTATTTGCCTGATTCCGAGTCCGTATGAGAAAGTTACGCCTATTTTAATAGATGACATATTTTGTCCGTTTCGGTAGAGTTTTGGAAAATTCTACATGTCACATATTTTGTCCGTTTGAGTTTATTTTTTATACGGTTGGTTCCTATGTTCTTCTAAGTGTGAAAAAAAATATCAAAAAAATGAAATAAAAATAAAAAAATTACATCTCTATATACTGTTTAACTTATATATGTCATTTCATGTGGTTATATTTTGAATTAGATTAAGTAATTTCATATAGTGGTAGAGTGCATTATGTTTAACATGCTGATCAAAGAGTTTTACTAAAAGAGTTATAGTCTAATTTTAGTGAAGGTGCAAAGTAGACTAAGTGGTATGCTAGATATTTTCAGACTTAGCTAAGTGGTAGTTCGAGTTTAAATTTTTTTTGTGGTTGGTTGTATCGTGATCCTGAGTGCGAAAAAACATCAAAAAAATAAAATAAAAATGACACCGTTGCAACTCCATACAGAGAAACAGGAATAGAGGCGGCGGCGCCAGCCATGCTGGCGCCCTCCTCCTGCCACGTCGGTTCGCGTGCGCCACGGTGGCAGGAGGACGGCGCCAGAGAGGCTGGCGCCGTCCCGTTGGATGACGGCGCCAGCCACTCTGGCGCCCCAAAAAAGACCATTTCTGGGATAAGTTTTTTCAGGGGTCTATTTGCGAAATAAGTTTTTCAAAAGGACCAAAATGTGAAAAATCCAGTAGAGACCATATTGTTTGTAGGATGCTAGTCTTTAGATAATATAGAGCTCATATCTGAATCTACCTTTGTACATGCCCTTAGCAGCTAGGTGGGATTAATTATTAGGAGCCTTGTCGGTGACTTGTTTGCTTGGCCTTCGGAAATGAGAAAATTCCCTATGTAGCATAAAAAAAAATTACTCTTCCCTCTCTAGCACCCAAACTTCAAAAGTTCCCTAACTATACAACCCTCAAATTTTTTGTTACTCCCATTAGTCTCTACTGTAAAAACAAACATGGCCCCACGGAAGGAAGACAAAACTACCCTCTCCCCGTGCTTCGTATCCCTGACCCGTGCCTCGACTCCACGCCGCTGCAAACCCTAGATCGCCGCCCCTATGGCCGGCAGCGTGGATGGTGACCCCCGGGCGGCGAGGACGACGAATCCTCAGGCGGCACGGATGCCATCCCTCCAGGTGGCACGGCTGCCCCAGGCGCGCCCCTGAAGGGAGTGGCGCTGGCGGGTGCCCCCAGATGGCCAGCCCTCAGGCCCGCAGGAGGACATGGACCGGCGGCACGGGAGGCCAGGCCGTCGCAGGAGGCCAGCACCCTGCCAGCACGAGTGGCCAGCTCCAGGCTTGCTCGGCCGGCTAGTCCTAGGCGGGCGCAGTTAGCCAGCCCCGGCGGCATGGGCAGCCAGCCCACGGCCACGCTGATGGCCAGTACCCAGGTAGGCACGGGCAGCAACCCCCAGGATGGTGCGGCCAGACAGCCCGGCATGGCGACGAACTCAATAACTGAGTGAGTTTCTTGAAAATTTTGTAGCACTCAATGGCAGTAGGATTACATGTAGCTCTTATGCATGTCGCTCTTGATGTTACAGGTTATCAGACTCTAATTTTTTGCTAAAGATAAATCTGATTGGCAATCACAGAAAGATGAGAAAGGATATTAAATGTTGGAATTTTGAGATGATTGTTGATTCAGACAGGACATGCTTCATGGATTTTGTTCAATCAGTTGTTGACAAGTATCCCCCAGGGTACTTGGAGGTTGCACATGTCCAGCACTATGATGTCCTCAAAACTTTTCCAGAGGTTAACTCAGACCAAGAGTTGCTAGTCATGTTTGATCTGCACAATAAGAAGAAGGTTGTAGAAATGTTCATTGTTTATTCTGATCCGTCTGAGCCATTCAAGCCTATCAATGAGTGGGAATTTGAAGAGGAAGAGCAACCTGACAACAACATAGAACCCGATGGTGATAACTATCTTAGTAATCCTAATCCATTGAATGAGCATGTTGGTGTTGATGAGGAGAGTATGTACTTGGATAGTGTCCCTGTAAATCAATCTAGTCCTGCAATGAGCACAAGAAGTAAATGAAGATTGAGCCTGCGATTCTGAACTGTATGAACTCTATGTAATGTCATATGTATTTTGTTATTACATCTGAATTTGTATGCAAATTTGGTTTAGAGAACTGTAATGTGTTCTGGATGGTTATGGTTATCTGTGGATGTGAATTTGGATGCTCTCTAAAATTTATTTGGTTCATTATTGTGTTGCATACATGCTGTTGTTGCATGTAAGTTCTCTCAAATTAGTTATGTCAAATTTCTCTTAGTATTGTCATGGTGCATTTAAATCCTAAGTTGTTGATCTAATGTTGTTATATTATATTGGCCAAAAACAAAAGTATGCACAGACTTGAACACGGCTGGAAACTAAATGAAAAAAAATAAAGAACTAAAAAAAACAGCGGCAAAAGCAGCCAGCAGAAAAGGAAACTAAATGAAAAGA